AGCGCACAAAATTTATTTCTTTTTACAAAAATTAAATATTTAAAACACAAAAAGGATACGGTACCTAAAAATATGAAATGATAGTTTTCTTACAAAGAGAAGCCCGCCATCTTTTCAAGCATTCAAGTTATTCAAAAGTAAATATAGTGAAAAGGAATGCAGTAATTTTAATTGCCCATCAGATATCCCATTTTCGAAATCCTAACGACCCTCTTAAACTCTAGTAATGTCATTTGATTCCGTATTCAAATATTCAACAGCTTTTATAATGACACTTATAATCCAGAGATAATCATCGAGTGAAACGAGAAACTAATGAAGCAATCCATAATCACACGCATCATAAATTGTAAATTGACAACATTCGAATAAAACTAAACTTACTGCTAATGGTTTTCCAAAGCATTACCTGGAAGCGAAACTAAAAATAATCATATAAGCAGGAATTCTCAAACTGCGGAGATGAACTTAAAAGGGATACTTATTCAAATAAACTAGCAAAATATACACACAAGAAAATTTAAAAAAATATTCAATCATTTGTTCCAATGTTTCATAATCCATAATAAATTTAATTAGTGAGAAGCCTTTCTCACATTTATAGCGTTCGTGATAAAAAATAAAAAGAATACGCGTGATACAAAAAAAACTTTAATTGGAAAGAAAATTTAACTTTCAATAATTTTTTTTAATAATTGAAATGATAACTCGTGGGTACAAATAAACAAGTCCTTGATCTTACCAGATACGGGTATGTGAGGAATTTAAATCTGAGACTACTTATGTTCCGAAAGCTACAGATTTTTTTTTTCTTTTCAAAACGGTGCTTTTAGTTTAGCCTATTGGATGTTAAAGGCTGTAAAGAACATATGAGCAATTCTACAAATAAACACCAATTAGGAGGCCAAAAAAAAAAATTGGGGGGGGGGCACACTATTTCTACATGAATTTTCTTCTTTTTTGCACCCTAAAAAGGCAAGAAAAAATCGTGAACATGAAATTTTTTCTTTGTGACATACTTTAAATGTGACATACTCTTTCTGACATACTCAGATAAATCTGAGCCATTTATTCAGATAAAACGATTTTCACATAAATATAATATTATTATAATATCTCTTTAAAATGTATTTATGGAGATTTCATACTATAAGATTATATTTTAGTATAAAAATTGGCGTTTATTTGTAGAATTGCTCATATGAGCAATTCTACAAATAAACGCAAATTAGGCAGCCAAGCAAATAGTAATTTTTTTTTGGGGGGGGGGACGCTATTTCTACATGAAATTTCTTCTTTTTTACACCCTAAAAAAGCAAGAAGAAATATTGAACATAAAATTTTTTCTTTGTGACATACTTTAAATGACAAAATACCAATTTTAAATTTTTCCCGATTTTTTCAATTTACGAACTTTGATTAAATTTTTTTATTTTTGTTTTTTATACTAAAATATAATCTTATAGTATGAAATCTCTATAAATATATTTTAGAGAGACATTATAATAATATTATTTTTATGTAAAAATCGTTTTATCTGAATAAATGGCTCAAATTTATCTGAGTATGTCAGAAAGATTATATCACATTTAAAGTATGTCACAAAGAAAAATTTTCATGTTCAGATTTGTTCTTGCCTTTTTAGGGTGTAAAAAAGAAGAAAATTCATGTAAAAATAGTGTGCCCCCCCCCCCGAATTTTTTTTTTTCTGGCCGCCTAATTGGCGTTTATTTGTAGAATTGCTCATATATACATATTATATATTCATATATATTCACTGCTTTGCAGATTTCCAATTCCAACGCATTATTATTTTCCGTGATGGCTCAGGGGATAGAGTGATCGCCTTCCAATGGGATGAATCGTGTTTGAAACCCAGCGATGGCTGGTCGATACAAGTTCCGCACCCGGCTCACACCGACCACAATGCTAACGTAAAATATCCTCAGTGGTTGACAAACCATTGGTTAAGGTTCCCTTTCTGTCACTCTAACCATGAGAAATTACTTGGTTTTCCACTCCATGTAAGCAAATGCGGGTTAGTTCCGTCAAAAAACCGTCCACGAAGGTAAATTTTTCCCAATACTTATTCCAAGAGTTCCCTAGTCTTCTGGATTAAGTTACAAATTAAAAGGCTACGAAGTTGAGCATTGGTATTCATAAACTCAAAATTGAGTCGACTGTTCAACGACGGTTAAAAGATACATTCCTTTTATTAATATTTTGATTTCTTCTTCTTCACGTGTCCAATCGCTTACGATAGAGCTATGGTGGCTGGAATGAAGCGTTCGCTTCCCTATAAGGTGACCCAGGTTCGAATATGAATGGTGTCTGACTGGGGCAAATTCAGCTCCCGACACGCATTGACTACTATCCTGACGTAAAATATCTCCAGTGGTAGACGAATCATGGATTAGAACTCATTTGCCATCGGGCTAACCATGGGGAGTTTTCGTGTTTTCCCTCTCCATGTAACGCAAATGCGGATTCGTCCCATTTAAAAGTCCTCCGTGAAGGCTAGTTTGTCCCAATACTTTACCAGGGTTTTTCTTGTCTTCTGGGTTGAGTTCAAAATTACAAGCCTACGTAGTTGAACATTGATATACTCAGAATTAGGTCGGCTGTTTAACACTGGTTATGAAAATAAAATCGTTTGCAATCAAATTCGGTACGTAATCAATTTCGTTCCAATGTCAAAAAATCACATCTCCTTTCACTCAACAGAAACGTCCTAAAATACTGAAATTCGGCTTTAACCATACTTCAAAAGACACCACTCACCGAACAACATCTGGATCCAAACTAGTAAAATTACTATCCGAACAAAAAGTTATTTCTATTTAAAATGAAACAAAAATCAATTGTATATTACAATATTCAAAAATAAATATTAATGATCAATGCAGTTTTCTGAATAATTTAAAATAAAATGCATAGTAGTTTAAAAATATTTTTTCAATCATTAATATTTACTGAAGAAAAATTTCTAAAGCCATTTTTCTTTTCAACATTTTTCCCGTTTCTCTATACAAACTGTTTCACTATTATATTTGATTTTGGAGTTAAGTAAACAGCTCGTCGGTGAAACTTTTAATCTGAGAAGAGATCGAAACGGGTGCTTAAGAAAACGGACTCAGAAAAAATACACCTTTTCGATTTTCAACCCAAATTTAACAACTAAACGGAAAAAACCACATTAAGCATAATCATCGCCGGGTTAAGTTCCGGACTTTTAGGTTAGAGGTTATTATGTTAGAAATATATTTTTAAGACATCTTTTCGTATTCAGAACACTAACGATGAAGTGGTTTTTTTAAAAAAAAAGAAAATCGAAATTCGTTTTATAAATTAATAAGACCCATGAAAATTTTGTAGAAAAATCTATTAACTTTTAACATCTTTTCAAAAACGACAATTTCTTAAAAAAAAAATTAGCTAGGTGATTTAAACAAATGGAAGATACCACATTACGAATTCATTCAAATAGTTGCGTTTTATTCTTTAAAAAAAATTTTTTTACATGAGAGGTATCTAATACTATGTCCATGTTTGTAAATAACTATGTCAATTTTTTTAAAATAATTATTCTGAGGTATATCTATTTTTCAAATGCGCTTTTTCTGAGCTGTGTCTTGCTTACTATCGGGCTATATCCTCAAATATTCTCTGGATAAATTGATTTAATTTTTTTCATTTTTTCAATATCTTAAATATATTTCTATCTTACTTTTTTTTTCTAAACATTTTTTTTTTGCTCATTTGCTTATAATTTTTAGCTTCTAAACATAATTACATAATTAATATTTTTAATTGGAATGGAAAAATTAATTTTAATTTGGAAAACAAGAAATTTTTCCCTTAAACCTTCAAGGGACAACATTCTCTTTATTTATTAAAAATACCTTTTGAAAAATAAATCATTATAATATTTAGGAACAATTGCTAATGATTAATAAAATATTAATGAAGATATCATATTTTGCATAATTAAAAGCATTTATTGAATGTAAATTAATGGGTTCATTCAACAATTAAAAACATGTATTTTCATTTTTTATGGTTAAGAAACTCTAAATCAGCAGTTCGCAATTTTTTTTCAGCTATGGAACCCTAAAATGACCGAACTTCTTTTAGCAGAAACCCGGCATTATAAAAAATTCATCGCATAATAATAATAATAATGATTATTAATTAATTTGTAGAATGAAATATTTTAAATGATGAGTTTGTTCTTGGTGCACGCATGGACTGAAAATGGCTGAAATACGCAATATTGGTTTAAAAAAAAAAATTATAAATGAATGTTGAGAATAGTTATCAGAGAGACGTAACTCTTTATTCTTGATTTTGGCTATTTTATTTTGAATTGATAAAACCAACGAGAAATGTTAATGGAATTTCTTAAAAATGCATATCTTTTAATAATTTATTCCAGAAACTGTAATTGAAAAAAAAATTCCTTCCACAAAGTTTAAGGTTCTGTTAAGTACCGCTGCTCTAAATGATCCTTTCGATTGAACCTTGACTTCAAAAATAGTGTATATAAGCGACCATGGCTTGCAAAAACAATAGATGATATATGCGAACAATCGTGATCTTCTTATATAAACATTTTGAAAATGTTTATATAAGAAGAAAATATTTTTTTCGCCGTTTCAGATTTAATAATCCGAATCAGATCGCTGGCTGAGAGTTGCATCTAGTTTACTTCTGAATTGAGGTGAGTGGATAGAATAAAATAAAGAATAAAATTAATCGAATTAGGATTTTGTGCAAATGAAAAATTATTTTAAACTTTGAACATGGTTAAAGGGTCATTCTCTTCTATAGCGGTTCATACACTTCTGATTTCCGTTGGCCTGATTTGTGAAAAAAGATTTACCGCAAAACACTCACCCATCGAGTTCTCCATTTTATTTAATGTTGATCAGAAATGCATGAACTGCATTCAGTGAGAATGGCCTTTATGGAGGCCAAAGGCATCTGATCTTATAAAGAGCAAAAATAGACAGCGTAAAACGCGTCAGAACTTTTTGAGGTAGTAAACAGTAAACAATCAATCTTTTTAAATTTGTTTTGTGTTTTTCAATCTGCTGAGATTTTCATTATGTGTGTTGAATAAGGGCTTCTATTTTACAAACTCTAGATTAAAACTTTCTCCATTTAATTAAGTGGTACTTTCTAATGAGTGGCGATCTCCAATAATTGCGATTAAACATGTTCACATTGAAGAAAATAATGTCCAAAGATACTAAGCATTTAATGCAATAAATTTTCAAAGAAAAGCAGTAAAAAAATCTTATACCACAAAAAAGTCTTGCCCATCTAAAGTATGAGATAAAATTTACTCTAAACATTTGGTTTAACTTAACACTTTGGTGTAACACAAATATATTCATTTTGTCAGCAGAAATGTTGTTTGAACATACTTAACTGCCATCATGTTAAAATGAAGCCTTAATCCCACTGTAGATGTTAAAATGTTTTTATAAAAAAGTAATATTTAGTAAATTCAAATTGAAAGGAATTCTTTTGCGTGTTGTAATACATTCTTGAACACTGCTTAGATATGTTTTTTATGTTTATTCTGGAGAGCTGACTTATCACTGCTGGACTTTGAAAGGACATAGAAAAGTACTTTGAATAAATATTCTTTTATATTTATTTATACAAGTGAAAAACTTCACTCAGGCAGTATGGGTGAAAAACCTTATCAAGTTAACCGTAATTTTAATAAACTTGATCTTGTTCATACCAATGAGAAATCTTATTCATGCCATGTGTGTGATAAATCTTTCTCCAAGAAATCTCATTTATTTCAACACTCTATTGTTCACACTGGAGAGAAGCCTTATTCATGCAATGTGTGTGATAAATCTTTTACACATAGATTTGGTTTAAATAGACACGCTCTTGTTCATAGTGGAAAGAAAGCCTATACATGCAGTGTATGTGATAAAACATTCTTACTGAAATCACATTTAAATAGTCACACTCTTCTTCATACTGGTGAGAAACCTTATTCATGCAGTGTGTGTGGTAAATCTTTCACACATAAGTTTGGTTTAAATAGACACACTCTTCTTCATACTGGAGAGAAACCTTATCCATGCAGTGTGTGTGATAAAACATTCTTACATAAATCACATTTAAATAGCCATATTCTTCTTCATACTGGAGAGAAACCTTATTCATGCACTGTGTGTGATAAATCTTTCACACAGGCATCTGGTTTAAATAAACATATTCTTCTTCATACTGGAGAGAAGCCTTATTCATGCAGTGTGTGTAATAAATCTTTCACACAGAAATCTAATTTATACCAACACTCTCATGTTCATGCTGAGGGGAAAAGAGAGAAACCTTATTCATGCAGTGTGTGTGGTAAATATTATCTTAATAAAAGAAATTTAATCAGACATTCTGTAGTCCATACAGAAAAAAAACCTTTTTCGTTAGACATGAAAGTTTCAATTTCCAGTTAATAACCAGTGGTCATACTCTAATTACTCAATGTTTACTTTTTCCTCAAATAATAAGTCCGGTGACCAGTATAGATAGGTCCTGTTCATTTTATAGCCACTATTTGCCAACCTTTTTACTTGGATTAAACTATATATTTAAAAGGAAAAAAATTCATATTTGAAATTATCTATAAATATGCTATAAAATTTTGTTAAACATTCTGACTTTAAATTTACCTATATGTAATAACTTTGAAATATGTTTATTTCAAGCTTCATTTTCCACCCTGTGATATTGAACCAAGAAACTCTCGATCATTTTATAATGGTCAATATAATCAAGAAAAAGAGTTCTATGTAAAAAAATTAATTTATTGCTTAATTTACTTCAATTTAATTTTAAAATTTCACTTGTTGTTATAATTTACTCTGTAAAAATTGTTATTTTAACTTGATCATGTTAAGTCTTTAAAAATTATTTTGTATTTTGTTCATGTAAATAGTACTTAAAAATATTTTGAGTTCTTAAAAAGTACTTAAAAGGTGCTTATTTTTTGTAGAAAGATTTGGCTATGCACCCTGATCTAGTTTGTTGGTGGAAAAGGTGGTGATGGGGTGATTAATTTAATACTTTTTCAATGGTGGAAAAGCATCAAAACTTTTCTCTAAAACATATTGATATTTACATCTTTCTATATTGATGGTATCAACTGGTATTGATATTTTTGCTCGCCTAGTATAATGATTTTAAAAGTCTGGCTTTCGAATTTTATAGATTATGAGTTGACCCTCAACACTTAGCTTCAGAACGTTGAATATTAAAATAATTGGGTGTCGAAAAAGTCAATTCACATTTGTTGGGGGGAAAAGATGTAAAATTGGATCTTTCAAAACTTTAATTATTTTTTGTATTCCAGTCACAGTGAGAAAAATATTTCTGATAATAAAAATAATTTAATCATGCAACTCAACGATATTTTACTATCTTTTTTTTTTTAATGAAAAATAATTTAAACCCTTATGATACCGAAAATCATGCAGATTACCCTGGTTTAAGATGTAGGGTGTGGTTTGAGGTTAAATTTTTTATTTATTCATAAGCAATATTTTTTGCATTTTTAAGAAATATTTCTCATTAAAATATCTCTCTTCATTATTTAATGCAGTATATTTGGAAAAAAATCAGCATCACATTTCGTATTTATATTATATTTTTAAGAGAATAAAATTGCATTACTGTCCCTTGTCAAAAACAGACTTTTCTGAACGTTTTAAGTAATTTACTATATTCTGATATACTATGACTGCCTACTTGAATATGTATAATAAATATTCTTAGAATAATTTGTGTATTTTGTTCAATACTTTATTCTGTATATGTCCCTCATTTTTTGTCATTTCTGTCACAAATACGAAAAGTATCAGTAAAACACTATAGATAACTCTATGAATAAAACATAACGTCCAGGTTACAAAGAACACTCTTCCTTACAGAACACTAAAGTTTAATTGCAGAACCATTTCTTTTAGGGTCGATTAGCTTACTTTCATTATAAAAAAAATGTTTGGGTGACTTTATTGAATGTAATTCCTGTCCCCCTCATCAAACAAATTTAAGTAAACAATTTTTAACTTGTATAAAATCTAATTTTTTGTAAAATATGGGTAGTTTTATTAAAGAAATTAAACAGTTTTTCTGTTTGGAAAAAACTATTGTTTTTAAATTATTCTCCCGACTTAAAATGCGATTTATAGGGACAGTAATTACCTAAGGGACTCCTACTTACTACATGAAAAGCTTTTAATGTGTTTGATTATGTTATTCAATTTTTTTTTTGTCAGATTTCAAACAGTAATGAAAAAATATTTTTTGACAATCAAAACTTTGTTAGTAAACATAAGAATAAAAGAGTTCAATTTATGACTGATATTAATTTTGAGATAGAGTTAAAATGATCTACTTACAAGAGTTTAGAGATAGTTATAAACCTGGTAACAAAATTTACAGAGTTAATCAATAGCATCTTCATAAATCCAAATTTGTCTTGGATCTCAACGCAATCAAGCTAAGATTTTTATTGTAATGAATTAACTTAATAAAGAGCAAGATTGGAAAATTTATCTGATCTCCACTGGCCACTACAGGTCAATTTATTCGTGGCCATGTTTCTCTTTCCACTCTCCACTTTTTTAGTTAAGATTTCCTTAATAATGATTTTGCTTCTAAATTGCTATAAAAATATATTTATTTCCCTCCTTAGTTATTTATATAAGATATTATAATAAAAAATATGTATATTATTATAATAACACATCATGTTTTAAGGGGGGGGGGAAGATTCGTAATAGAAAATTCATTACCATGCAACTTGTCAAAAATAGAATTAAAACATACAAAGAAGCTATTAAAAATGAATGTTTTTATCCGCATTTTGTGGGGGCTTTTCCATGAACTAGGAAGTGATGACGATGGGGTGTCAAAAGACAAAAAGAGGCGGTGGGGAATCTTAAGCGGGGCTCAAACAAATTAGTTCAAAATATTTAATTTAAAAAATATTTTATACTTCATGCTTTTCTCACATCATTTTTTTCAGAAGTGTGTTTCTGTCTGGAGTTAAATATCACTAATTTTGATACCATATTGTGCAGATCTGCAACAAAGAAAAATTATTCTCGCTGTCACCACTCTTTCGGAAAATTTCCACACTTTTTCCTGCAAAATTTTAAATTTGACATATGTTTAACAAAACGTTTACAGAACATTCTGATATGAAAACGTTGTTCATGTATTGATTGGCTTTTGAATTATTTAAATGTTAAATTCAATTTTCTCTTCTGTACTGCGTAATTGTTCAGTTTTGCAAATAAAGTTATAAGAAAATTTTTACAAGCATGTATTGCACGTGCTCCGAAATGGTTTTGCCCATTAAATTGTGAAATTCGTCCCCTCCCCCTCCAATTGCTACATAGTCTAATTTTACAGATAAAATAAAAAGGATTATTTTAATTTGGGGGTTCGGTGTTATTATATGTGTAAATAACTATAGAGAGATTTCTAAAATTCTCTCTATAATAGGCGGTCGCAACGCTCAATATTTGCGATTCATAAAATTCGTAACTTTATACCACTAAAATCTTTTAGTTTTAAAGGTACAATGAGTATCAAAATGACATGCAATAAATAAGCTTTAATAAATAGGTAGAATGCATGAAATAAACTTTTAACTAGCATTTTTTAAATAATTGTTAGTTTAAATAATTTGGAAGAAAAATTTGCATTACAATTTTTAAAAAAACTGCTTTTTCAATTTTTCTCTTTCTTTCTTGTTATGACTATTTTTTTTTCTTTTTTTCACAATTGCAAACTTATATATTTTAATAAACAAAATTATACATTAGTTTTTCAAAAAAAAAAAACATTATTTTCTTCTCTTTTATAATATTTTTATAATAAATTACAATTTGCAGCACAAACAGGGCAATAATTTTTTTTTTTCAAATTTAATAATTTATTTCTTTTTAGAAAATGGTTTTCAATCGTTGTGTTATATTGAACTGGATTTGTAAAAAAATTCTCTGCAATTAATTTTTTTCCTTTTATTACCCTCTTACATTAAACCCAACTCAGAAGACATGGATGCCAAGTAGTCATACTTTATTTAAGAATTTCATGCTAGAGCTTTTAGTGACACAATTTCACTGTTGTTTACTCGTTGCAAATATTTTTAATACTTTCAATTAAACACATTTTTAATTTCAAAATATTCTCAATTGTTTTTATATTTGGCGCTGGATTTTAGTTTTTGCCTTATCATTTACTATTGTGTAAGCAAAAAAATTATGATAAAATCATTCTGAAAAATATTTTTTTTCAAGTGCCATAAAAATTTGTAAAAGCTTTTTGAATTAGTATTAATTGCATCAATCAGGATAACTTAAAAATTTATTTGAATAAAACCAAAAAAAAAAAAAAAAAAAAAAAAANAACTAAATACGAAAAAAAAACACTAGTATAATAATGAATAAAACTGAATATATTAGTTAATATTTAAAAATTAATAATACTTATCTAATCTTTTTAAAAAAATTCTCAAAACAGAAAAAAAAATGCTTGATTTTTTTTCTTCCTAAAATTTGTAATACTAACAATAAGTATTTACAAAAGTTCAAACGTCAAACAACAGTTTAAGAAATAGCTAAAAAGTCTTCTTTAGTCAAGCATTTTTTTAGTACAATTTCTAACAAAATTTTTAAAACAATGTGATTTTAGAAATTTGTCAATGTTCATTTTAACAAATTTTATACTTAAAATATTACTTAATTTTTTTAAAAAAAATTTCAAGTATATTTCGGTATTATAGTTATAAGACTAGAAATATAAATAATTTTTTCTTGGAATATTTGGAACGGGAAAATTAAGGTGGTGTTAGTAGTTTAACAGGATGCAAATATCAATTAGTTTTCACTGAAATCATTTTTAATAACAAAGTTCTCTCAATTGTTTTTCTGATTGATGCAGGATATTTTTTTCTTATGATTTTAACATTCTGTATGCAAATTAATTATGCAAAAGAAATTCTCTTTTTTTACACGTCGCATACATTAAGATAAAAAGTATTATTTAAAAAAAAATATATCACTAGTTTAATAATTACAAATGAATATTTCTAGAATAACTTATCTGATATTTAATAGAGAATCTTAAAACAGAAAAGAAAATTATGCTTAAGTTTGTTTTTTTTCGCCCTAAAATTTGTTATTTATCATTTTATTAAAGAGTAAGTATTTTAAAAAGGTCAAATATTAAACAGAAGATTAAGAAAAAACTAAAACGTTTCTCTTATTCAATTACTTTTTTAATGATATTTCTAACAAGAAAAATTTTTAAAATGTGATTTTGGAAATTTTTTAATCTTAACAAATTTTATTCCTAAAAATAATACATAATTTTTCAAAAAATAAATTTTCGAATATATTATGGCATTATAGATATAAGAGTAAAAATATCTTTTTGTCTTAGAAAATAAAAGATTAAATTTTCGCATTTTAAAGTATGAACAGAAAAATAAAAAAAATAATAAAAATGTTTCTTATTTATGCATCTAAATTTATCTGCAACTTAATAATAATTTAAAAACGATTATATCGAAAAAATTTCCGTTCTTCATATTCCATGCTTTTTATTACCCACTTGTATTCTACCCAACTCAAAAGACAAGTGAAAATAAATGAAATTATGTTTCTTAATTATGCATCTAAAGTAATCAACTAATCAATCTCAAAAAACGATTATATTGTAAAAGCTTCCGTTCTTTAAAATATCTAATACAAAATTGTACAGCGGATGAAAAATCAGTATACAATTTATAATAATTCTTATTTATATTATATACGAATTAGTTAAAGTAATCCTATTTATTTATTATGTACTAATCTCTGTTATAACTCACCATTTTTTTTAAAAGAAAGATTGCAAAATTTTACTAAAAATCTAGTTTTTTTTTCTTCAAACTATGATGCATTTTTTCTCTAAATATTTTGAAAATATTGAAAGGTAGTTAATATAAAAGTTAATAAAAACACGGCAATAATTATACTAAACATATTATGGCTAAGAATACTCACAAATTTTTAGAAATTTTTTTTAAACGTTTTATTTAAAGTTGTGAAAGATTATTATAGATTTTATTATAAGTTCTGCAAGAAACTAATTATTCAATCGATTTATTATATGAAATAATAGATTTGTGAGAGAAAAAAATGTGTCTGAAATGCATTCATAAAACATATAGGTAAATGATAATAAAAAATCATGAAATATCTGGGTAAAAATTATCTTTGAAATCGGAAATCTAATTTAATTCCAGTGTCAGACGCGTTCTATTCGAACTTTCGAATCGCTTTCACCAGCAAATTGTTAGGTGGAAGACATTCGATAGATGGGAGGAAAAATGAAGATCGTAGCCAGTTAGCAAAATCCGTTCGAAAGCGCGAGGTTTCAGGTTTTCCCTAGGAGTAGAAACGTGACAACAAAATGTCATTTTTTTTATCCCCAGCTCGTTCGATGGTTGCGAATTTAGAGCTCTTGCTGCTCTTTGGTATCAAGACTAAAAGGCGATCCATTTTTGCACCGGATAGTCATGTGCGATGAAAAGTGGATACTTTTTGATAATCGTAAGCATTCGGCACAATGATTGGACAAAGATAAAGTGCCAAAACAAAACCAAATGCCGAGTATATACACCAAAAGAAAAAAAAACTAATGGTGTCTGTTTGGTGGTCCTGGTCCAGCACTTGTGTTATACACTATAGTTTTATGAGACCTGTGCAATCGATAACAGGGAACCTATAATGTGAACAGTTAGAAGAAATGATGAGGCAGCTGCAAATTAAGCAGCCAAGATTGGTCAGACCAATCCTCCTGCAGGACAACGCTCGACCACACATTGCAAGATCGACGTTTGTTAAAGTACAGGAACTGGGCCTGGAAACCTTTTGTCACCCATCGTACTCGCCAATCGTGCTAACTGATTACCGTAAACCGGGGCGAGTCTACCCATTTTTTCAGTTTGTCAACTTTCATGTGGTCAAACTTTTGTAAATATTAAAAAAAAAAAGGGTTTTAATAGGTGTTTCGGAATCGCTATTTATCCCTCTTTAAAGCTGTGAAATCGATTTAAGAAAATATTAACAGTTACGCTGTTACTGTATATTTTTATAGAATTGCTGACAAATCTCTCGTAAGGGGCGAGTCTACCCATTCTACTAAAATGAATGTTAACATTGTAAATAATCAAATTTTACTATTAAATTGTTATTTTAGTTACTATATAGGATATTTATGAAGTAAAATTCATAACTTTATTATATATTCCATTTTTTTATTCATAAAATAACACAAATTGAGTATTTGATCGATTATCACATTTTGATCACAGTTTTGTTTTTATAATCATTAACATTATAAAATAACATTTTTTTCTGATTATTGTTGATAAAAATAAATTAAAATTAATATAAATTTACAATTAAATAATTAATAAATAATAATAATTAAAGATTATTAACAAAATCGAAATTCAAACATTGGGAATCATGAAAAATCCTTTTCCCATTCTTTTGGGAGGTAATAATAATTTATAAATAATAATTTATTTAACTTGCATTAAATAAAAAAAGTTAATTTTGTAATATAAAAATTGAAAAAATAGGTAAAATAAGCATATTTTATCTTTACATTTATATTTAACCTATAAATTTTCTTATTAATGATAAATTTATCAATGCAGAATTAAAATAATATACTCAAATTCATTTAAAAAGACTTAATTTTAATATAAACAAAGTTCTAAATTATATTATTATGCTTTATTAAAACTAAATACGAATGGGTAGACTCGCCCCGCAAATTCTGGCTTTTTGTTTGCAACAGCAAAACTTACATTCTTTTGGGGTTTTTTTCATATAAAATTAATGTAATCTTAGTCTTAGATAAGTTTATCACTTAACCAAAGTGAAAATAGTAATAATAATAATATACTTACGGAGCACCAACTAAAAGTTTGCTGATTTTCAATACAAATCTCTCAAAAGACGTTTGAACAGGTCGGTTAAAAAGACACCAAATAAATAAAAACGGATCAAACTACTACAGCGCCATCTTCCTTAGAGTCTGAACTAAGTCCTCCGTCGGTAAAAAAAATTTATTTGCAATTTAAAATAGTGAAAATTAAATAAAACTAAAATGGGTAGACTCGCCCCTGGATGGGTAGACTCGCCCCGGTTTATGGTACCATTTTTTCCGAGCGTTGGACAATTTTTTGTAAGGAAAAATATTTAATTCCCAACATGCGGTGGAAAACGCATTTCGGGATTCCATCACCAGCTGCTCGCCAGATTTTTTCACTAGCGGTATTAATAAGCTATCGTTAAAATGGCAATGTTGTATTGATAGTTTAGGCGCATAGTTTGATTAATTATGTTATTTCTTGCCCGAGATATAATAAACCAAACTTTCTGTCTCAAGTCGGCGGACGTTTCATACTTAATGACCCGATATATATATTGAAGAAATAGATAAATATATTATTCCAAATCAATGTATACGTATGTGTATTATTGTATGTGTACCAATTATTCCATGAACCTACTAAAAATAAAATTTAAAAAAGCAGATGTATAATCACATTCTATCGGAAACATGCTTTCATAAAACTTAACATTCGTTGAATACAATGTTTTATTCAAATCTCTTTGCTAAATAACGAATAAATTTTAAGACAGCTTAAAAAGAAACATTGTATTTCATAATAAAAAATAAAAAAGATTAACATTCGGCTATCAGTGGTAAAATATGAATGAAATTTTTGCGTTACGCTTGCGTAAGTTAAGTTCCTCGTAAGTTAACCAATTTTAAATATTAATCGTCCTATTTAAATATGCATACATTATCTATAATTCAAAACTTTTTCATCCACAAATAAATTAAATAATTATTAAAGATTAAGGTTTGCATGGAATTATCTTAGGATAACTGAGTTTCATGAATCGGTGAATTGTTTTTTTTTTTTTAATTGCTCAATTAGTTTTAAAGAAATGGCTAAAAATGCAAAAATTGTAATTAATAAGGGGTACATTAAAATCAAGAATCCAAATATATAAAAAAACATACGTTTATTTAGGTGTTTGCTTTCATACCTTACTCAATAATTAATAACATATAATTGGCATATTTGAGGTCACCCCCAAAAAACATTAGGATTGACACTTAGGACGTGAAAATCCGATCATAAGAACAAAAGTTATTCAGGGTCATTTATATATATATATATATACATACATACATACAATGCTCAAAATAAAAATCGGAACAGCCCCAGAAACCCATTACTTAAGGTCTAATGATCGGATCTTCTCGTTCAAGGACTCAATGGTTTGAGGAAGTGATCTCAAATATGCTAATTAATTAGCGATTATCGGTTGATCTTTTAAATTACGAAATATGACACAAAGAGGTACTTTCTCTGAATTAAGATACCCTATTTGACGGATTCAGATTTCTAACCTCCAAACTATAGGGGTACCCACGTGGGTACCCCTATAGTTTGTACAATCTGCGAAGGGCAGATTGTACAATCTGCGAAATATGATCCCAATAGGGAAGCGATCCAAAAAATAAGTTTAGACACATTTATGTTAATTTTTCTTAAGGCGTATTCCCCCCTATTTCGAGAACTTTTTAAGCGAAGTGAAAAAATTTTACACACAATTATAAAATTCGCATATCTAAAAATAATTTCATGCACAAAAAAAAAATAACTTTTAGTTTATATTTATAAATTTTTATTATTTTATTCAAAAATAGTCGAAAAAATTTGGAATTTGCAAGGGAAAATTTTTTTACACTATTTTAAAGTAAGCAATTTTTCTTGTCAAAATGCAAAATTTGAACGAAGTCAATCGTATAGTTATATAATCGTATATATAATATATAATCGTATAATGGTATATATATTTCGTTCCTGAGAAATCAAATTTTAGTTATAGTTCATAATTCACAATAAGTCGTAAGCCCCAAATTTCTTTTATTGCTAAGGATATTGTAGATATTCTTGATTTTAAGAATAATGCAGATACTCTTGTTAACTACTTTTAACAAAAATATATATCTTTTCGCAATTTCGTTTCATTATTTCCATTCAAACGTTTCCTCCATTTCCGTTCAAAATTCCTTCAACCAAGCTCTTGGCAATTAAATTCACTTGGCGTTCATTCATTTCTGCTAACCACCAAAGCAGAGGTGTGATATAAAGTTCGGCATTCAAGACAGTTAATTTTCTCAGGCCTCATCTACCAGCTATTCTACAATCGAGCAAAAAGAGTGAGTGTAAAACGTTACAGAACAAAACAATAAAAATTTTAGATTTTGTTAATATAATTTTGACTACGGTAATAAACTAATAATTCACTTCATTTATCGCTTTTTTTACTGCATGTTTTTATTTTTAATACGCGATTTTTAACGATTTACCTATTCCTACTGTGTTTTGATTTAGGGATTCCAACTTGCTGAACTTCCTTCAAATTTACTGAATAAATAGTTTTTTGTTTTGGAAAGAAAAATTTGCAAATAAAATTTATCGAAATTTTTTTTTTATTCAACCTGAAAGTAAGAGTTTTTTTTTTGCTAGTGTGATGAAACGTAATTATGCAGGTGTATTATTTAAATTGACTAGTATATACAGCAAAATAAGTTAAAACTAACATAATAGTGTTGTTGCTGTAAAAAAGACTTTTTCATAGTGTGCGCATGAAAATTTGATAAATGAAATTGTATTTTAACACCTTCTTTCATTCTGATGAAAAGTTTTACTTGTTCAGAATATGTTATACTAAAACATTCAACTAGATTTTAAGTTTACATAAACCTTCCTTGGTTCACATTTTTGAAAATCTTATTTGTGTAATATGTCTGGAAACTCTAACTCAGATAAGCCTAATTTAAACAACTCTGAAGAAAAACCTTATTCATGCGATGTATGTTATAAAACATTCAAAAATAAAATTTATTTAAAAAATCATTGTTTTGTTCATACCGGTGAGAAACCTTATTCATGTAATTTGTGTGGTAAATCTTTCACTAAGAAATTTAGTTTAAATTATCACATTCTTGTTCATACTGGAGAGAAGCCATTTTCATGTAGTGTGTGTAATAAAAGATTCTCAAGGAAAACTAATTTAATGGCACATTCTGTTGTTCATACGGGTGAGAAACCATATTCATGCAGTGTGTGTGATAAACGTTTCACGCATAAAAGAAGTTTAAATGAACATTATGCTGTTCATACTGGAGCAAAGCCTTATTCATGCAGTGTCTGTGATAAAACATTCTCACGTCAAGCATATTTAGATAGCCACTCTTTTGTTCATACTAAAGAGAGACCTTTTTCATGTCATCTGTGCAATAAAACATTCTCACGCCAAACTCGTTTAGATAAGCACTATTTTGTTCATACTGGAGAAAAACCTTTTTCTTGCAGTGTCTGTAATAAATCTTTTACACAAAAATCTTATTTAGATGATCACTTTTTTATTCATACTGGAGAAAGACTTTTTTCGTGTGATGAATGTCATAAAACATTCTCACGCCAAACTCATTTAGATAATCACATTTTAGTACATACTGGCGACAAACCTTTTTCGTGTGATATGTGTGATAAAACATTCTCAAATCAAACTCGTTTAGATAAGCATTATTTAGTTCATACTGGAGAAAAACCTTTTACTTGCAGTGTTTGCAATAAATCTTTCACTCAGAAATCTTATTTAGATAATCATTCTTTTCTTCATACTGGAGAAAGACCTTTTTCATGCAGTGTGTGCGATAAAACATTCTCACGTCAAACTCATTTAGATAGTCACTTTTTTGTTCATACAGGAGTGAAGCGTTTTGCATGCAGTGTGTGTGATAGATCTTTTACACGGAAAGCTGATTTAAATGAGCACTATCTTTCTCACACAGGAGAGAAACCTTATTCTTGCAGTGTGTGCAATAAATCTTTCACACGTAAAAGAAGTTTAGATATCCATTATGTTCTTCATACTGGAGAGAAACCTTATTCATGCAGCGTGTGTGATAAAACATTCTCTCGGAAAATTCATTTAAATATACATTTCCGTCTTCATTCTGGAGAGAAACCTTATTCATGCAATGTGTGTGGTAAATCTTTTTCACGGAAACCAGATTTAAATGAGCACTCTCTTGTTCATAGTGGAGAAAAACCTTTCTCATGTAGTGTGTGTGACAAAGCATTCTCACGTAAATCTTATTTAAATAAACACTCTGTTGTTCACAGTGAAGAGAAACCTTATTCATGCAACGTGTGTTGTAAAGCATTCTCAAGGCAATCATATTTAACAAAACACTGTCTTCGTCATTGTGAAAAGAAGCCCCATGCAGTATGTGAGTGATCTCTTGTAGTTTAATACACTTTTGTGATGAAACATTAGATTCTTTAGTAATAAATGTAAAAACATTAAAAAAGCCTGTTTTTTTTTTTTTTTTTTTTAAGGATTTAAATAAAAAAATTTATTATTTTATTTCATTTTCTGCAACTCTGTTTAAATTTCAGATCTCCATTTTACATTTTGAAAATTGACTTTATTATGAAGAGAATGTCTTTTGATCACTTTATTTGGAGATTTCAAAACAACTCATCTGGATGTTTTTTCTTCCGATTTATTACTGATTCAATGGCTAATCATGTTTTTTTTCGTCCTAATCATAAAATTTATGTTTTTTAGGTGCATTGTAAAGTATAATTTTATGTTTTTATTGCAGACTGATTTTTGGATTAAAAAAAAATATATATTAGAAATTTAGCAGCATAGGCTCAAAAGAACCAACACCCACCTATCAACAAGAAACAGTGCCCTTCACATTCTTAAAAAAATTAATAAATAAAAATTAAAAATATAAATTAAGATTTTGGCAAAAAATGATTTTGAAATCTTATGGTCTGAAAATTACCGATCATTGCAATTTATTTTTGTGCTATTAAATGTTTATATTGATAGTGCTGTAAAAGGATTTTTAATAATTTTTTGTAAATTTTTTGAAAAAACTAAATGCGAAATAAAAAATAAAGTAGTGGTTTATTTTCGTCCATTTATACCCATTTAAATTTACAACTACATATAATTTTTACTACAAAATTCCTTGCTATCCACTTGACACACATTTATAATGCATTTATGCACATAACTATTCTAACTGAAAAAAAATTTCTGCTTATTCAATAGAATATTTATATTGGTGTAGTATTTTCAAAAACGGAGTAAGCTAAACTACTCAAATATATAAAAAATTCAAATATATACATACAATGTTCTAAAATGGTTGCTGATTACAAAGACTGATATTAGTGTAGTACGCATTTTCATTTAATATTTCTTTAAATTGTAACAAAAAATAATTTTCGAACTATCAAAATAAGAATATTAGTAGCAAAGTATAATTTTAAAAGCAATAAATTTAATTTTTTTTTTCCTAAAGGAAAACTAAAAATTATAAGTATCATTTTAGAGCATCGAAAATACATATAAAAATTGAAACATTTAACTGAACTACGGTTAACTAAAGTGAATATTCCTCAAGATTGACTAATGATGAAAAGAAAAAGCCCTGATGTATTTTATTTGAAACTTTTTCTTTAAAATTTTGTGCCTAGATAGAATATCCTTGAGTCCTGAATACCGTGGACATAGCTCTATAGTTGCTTTCCTGAGAAAAATGAGTGTGAATTAGCAAGTTGTCAAACATAGCCCCTTTCCTTTCAGGTTTTGTTTGGCCCATTCATCTAGTTCATGGGTTTTCCCACCCTCACCTACCTAGCTACCGGTCATCTAAAAGGTTTGCTATTTTCTGAAGGAACTAAAATCTACCCCCTCTGCCCTAAATGCCATATACACCGGGCTTCCACCGATCATATCCTGGACTGTCTAGGATTTCTCTGGGAAGACATTTACTCTACTCCTCTTCATCAGGCCAGATGAGGATCAGCAACAACAAGGGTTCTATGAATCTCTCACTGCGTAGTTATTACTTAATCACTGATATCAACTATCCAGCCTTCTCTTCAAAAAGAACGCTCACATACGATATGGGGTAAATTATATGAACATTTATTGAACCGAAGCATAATACAATGGAGCAACAAAAAAAATTACAATAATCCGAATTGCACAAGGTCGTTCTTCGACTCATAAATCCTTCTTTTTTCCCCTGCTATTAAGACCTTATGTGGCAGAAAGTAAAAAGAGAGAGAACTTTATCTTTGGGACAAATTCAAAATGTCTTAGTTTGACTAATTCTATCCAAATAATATATTTACAAAGTAATAAAATAATGGAAAGGCCCACAGAATGTAATAGAAAGGTGAAGCAGATCAGTGATTTTAGAAGTAAGGCCCTGCTCAGCAAATCGAGCTCCTGTACAGAGGAGTCAGGGCTCGATCCTCGACTGCACCAAAACCCACCGAGTACATGCAATAAACATGCTCTAAATATCCATGGAATACCTGGAAAGTCCTTTGGTCGTTTGCTGAGCAGTACCATGGGTACAAGGATCTGGAAAAAATTTCCTTCCCCTTCAGATATGTGGCAAAATTGAGAAAGTGGCCTTACAAATGAGATCTCTTCTGCAGATGATCAAAATTGTGATGGTGTTCCTTTGAATCATCCTCAGGGATGTTTCCCAGACAGTAACCAATATCCTATTATGCATCTCCAGTTCCATGTAAGTAAAGTACTTACATACTATCTACCATGTATTGTAAAACCCATCCACTCATCTCAATATCCTAATGCGTCCCGCAGTGAACTGATCGTTAAGACACGGCTCCCAGCAGATCGCCAAAGTCAAGCATCACTGGCTGCAGTCCGTGTACGGGTGGGTGACCACTTGAATTAGTCTGCGTAGGGACCGAGGGTGTGCGGTATTGATCCTCGTTAAACTGTTCTACCGTAAAGTGCTCGACTTCGCGTGCAGGTCGTCGCGCTACCAAAGGGGGGTGCCCCACCGTCTCCAAAGACATGCCACCGATTGTGATGGCATGTCTTCGGATCATCCTCAGGGATGCTTTCCAGACCGTCGCCAATAACATATTTAGTGCCACGTAAATGAACTACAACAGCAACAATATCCTAACGTAATTAATAAGAGTGTAAAGAAAATACAGAGCTATAAGCTTATGCGCACAACTTGTCGCACTTTTCTGCAATCAAATGTAATTGATAAGCGAGCTATAAGCGCAAATCAGAAAAGAGCTGATAAATGCTCGTTTGTCAACATTCTTCAAGAAAAGAAGTAGAAACTTCTATTTAATGAATATTTTTAAAAAATTCATTACTTTTCATTCATTAATTAATTATTTTTCGACTTTCAAGGCTGAAAGAAACATACCCTATTTATGTTAAGCTTTGAAAAATTTCTAGTATTAATGCTGAAAAATAATATTTTATGGTGTACACTGGAAATAGGTGTTATTCTTGGTCTTAATGGGAAACGTGTTCATACTGTAAAAAACAATAGAAGGAGAGGCTGAGTATATGATGCAGTAAAACTTGCTCAAAAAGAGATAATAATATGACTTTTATACTACAGAAAATTTGTGAAGAATAATACTTCTTAGAGATATGATTTAAATAAACAAATATATTCGTGTCGTAAGCAGAAAAGCTGTTCATAAAACCGTCTACAGATGGAGTAGGACCCTGCAATCAAATAATTTTGCAGCAGAAGGTCACTTATCATTAACATTCTATTTCATATTGAATGAAGTCTTATTAATGCAGTTGTAAAACATTCACGTAACTAGCTCATTCAATTCCTCTTGCTCATAAAAATAAAGAACTTATTCGTGCAGAATGAGTAAAAACTCTAATACAACTCAGAGCAAATTAAATAAAAACTATTTTGCTCATAATGGAGAGAAACCTTATTCATGCAATGTGTGTGATAAATGTTTCACACATAAAAGATATTTAAATTCTCATTTTGTTGTTCATACTGGAGCAAAACCATATTCATGCAGAGTATGTGATAAATCTTTCACACAGAAGTCTGGTTTAAATAAACACAATATTCTTCATACTGGAGCGAAGCCTTATTCATGCAATGTGTGTGATAAATCTTTCACTTATAAATCTAATTTACACCAACACTATCTTGTTCATAGTGGAGAAAAACCGTATTCATGCAGTGTGTGTGATAAATGTTTCACACATAAACGAAGTTTAAATGATCATTCTGTTATTCATACTGGGGAGAAACCTTATTCATGCAATGTGTGTAGCAAATCTTTCACCCAGAAGTCTGGTTTAAATAAACACCTTCTTCTTCATTCAGGAGAAAAGCCTCATTCATGCAATGTGTGTGATAAATCTTTCACCCATAAATCTACTTTATGTCAACATTCTCTTACTCACAGTGGAGAGAAATCTTATTCATGCTGTGTGTGTGATAAATCTTTCACACATAAAAGGTGTTTAAAAAGACATTACATTCTTCATACTGGAGAAAAGCCTTATTCATGTAGTGTGTGTAATAAATGTTTCACTCATAAAAAAGGCTTGAAAGAACATTCTGTTGTTCATACTGGAGAGAAGCCATATTCCTGTAGTGTGTGTGATAAATCCTTTACATTGAAATCTAGTTTAAATAAACACATTCTTCTTCATTCCGGAGTGAAGCCATATTCATGCAGTGTGTGTAATAAATCTTTTGCACAGAAAAACAATTTAAATGAGCATTATGATATTCATACTGGAAAGAAGCCTTACTCTTGTAGTGTTTGTGATAAATCTTTCACTTCAAAGCCTAATTTAACTAGACACCTTCTTATTCATCGTGGAACTCATGCAGTGTGTGTGACAAAATATTCTCTAGATGAAGAAATTTAATTAATAATTTTTTTATTTCTACTTAAGATAAACTTTTTTTTTCCATGCAGTGTATGTGAGAGATCTTTCAAACGTAAATAATTCTGATTAGTAATCTTTGATTTAAATTAGGACTATCTTTCTCACCTGGACATGCATAGTATCTCATCTTTCTGATACTTGAGTTAAACCTTAATCTTACAATCTGCAATAAATTTTGAACACTTTCTATAATGTTAGTTTATGTAAAAGAAATTGAAATATTCAATATGTTATTCATACAAGAGTGGAACCTTAATCAAGCAGTGTGTGTGTGATAAAACTTTCTCACAGAAAATTCTTTTAAATTTACTTTTTGTCTTCATACTGGATATAAATTTTATGTATGTGATAAATAATTTTTACAGAAAATAGATTTAAGAGCTTAATTCATAGTGTAAGTAGTACCTTACTCATAAAATGTGGAAATTTTTTTAAAATAAAAACTCTGTATGATAATATATTATCATATCAATCTTATTTATCGACACTATTTTCATCCTTCCGGCATGAAGCCTCATGTGTGAGACATCGTTCATTGATTAACACTAGAAAGATTAAAAATTGCTGTGACCTGGAAATTCTGAGGGGGCGAGTGTGGCCCTTTTTAGATTATTTAAATATAGAACTAAAATATGTGTCTAAAAATATTATAAAAAATAATTTGTTTAAGACATAGTTGGATATTGATCGTAAGAAATGTGTGGGATATTTTTTTTTCCTATTTCGATAAGAATCTCTTACAATGGGCATAATGGTTTTTGTAATTGTGCCATTACAAATTTCATGCCTTAAATAATTTGAAATAATTATTCATCTTGAAACTATTTGGCTTTATTTTAAAATATGAAGATTATGTTAAAACTATTCAAATGTTCCTACGTTTAGTTTGCACAGAAAGTGTATTCTCAGCTCATGTACAACGAAACTGAAAAATATTTCCACATTAACAATTATAATATAATTTATATATTAATTATTCATGTAAAAACATAACATACATTTTAAAAGTAAGTCATTATTAAAAACTAATTTGCATAAATCTGTTTCCCAATACTAGTCAAATTTAATTATAAATTTTCTAGCATTAATTAAAATTTAAAAACATACCATTTTAATTATAAAACAAGACCAGAAAGATCGACAAATCTTATGATCTGAAAATTCATGATCATTGTAATTTATTTTAGTGCTATTAAATGTTTTTATTAATTGCGCTATAAAAGAATTTTTAATAATTTTTTGAAAAAATTAAATGCAAAATAAAAGAAGTAGCTGTTTATTTTTTTCTATATTTATGCATTTAAGTTTTAAACTAAATACAATTTTTACAACAAAATTTCTTCTTAGCCGTTAGACCCATATTTATAATGTATTTCTGTGCATAACTTTAAATAAAGTATATAATTGAAAAAAAATTTCTGTTTATTCAATAGAATCTTTTTATTTATATTGGTAAAGTATTCTGAAAAATTGAGCATGCTAAGCTATTTAAATTTATAAAAAAATTTAAATACTTATACAATGTTCAAAAATGGTTGCTGATTACAAAGGCTGATATTAGTGTAGTACTCTTTTTTGTTTAATATTTCTTTAAATTGCAACGAAAAGTAATTTGCGAATTGTCGAAGCAAGAATCTTAGCAAATCAATATAATTTTAAAAGTAATAAATGTAATTTTTTTTTTTCCTCTAAAGAAAAACTAAAAATTGGAAAAATTATAACTATCTTTTTAGAGAATAGAAAATACAAATAAAGCTTGAAACATTTGACAGTTAATTGAAACGAATTTTCCTCAAGGCTGACTAAAAATGAATAGAAAAAGCCCTCATGTATTTTATTTTAAACTTTCTCTTTAAAATTTTATACCCAGCTAGAATATCCATGAGGCCTGAATATCGCGGACATAGCCCTATAGTTGATTTCCTGGGAGAAATTAGCGTGAATTCACAAATTATAAAACATAGTGCACTTTCCTCTCAGTTTTTATTTAGCCCATTCATCTAGGTCAAGGGTTCAATGAATCTCTTATTGTTCTTACAGTTCCTGATTTCTGATATAAACTATCAGCCTTCTCTTCAAAAACCATCATACAATAAGACAGTAGTGTAGTAAAAACAATGCGTGTCACGTTTCAAAACCTTTCATCAGTGGTTTGTCTAAAATTTTGGTAACTAGACGTCCTCAAATCTTAAGAAAAAAATTCTATAATAATCCGAATTGCACAAGGTCATTTTGACTCCTAAATCCCCCTCTTTTTCCCTACTCTGAAGACATGAAATGGAAGAAAGCAAAGAAGAAAAAAGGGAGAGAGAGAGAGATAACTTTATCTTTGGGACGAGCTAAAAATGTTTATGTTTAACTAATTCTATCCACATAATATCTTTACAAAGTAATAAAATAACAATAGGAAGGGTCCACAGAATGTAAACGAAATGTGGAAATAGAATAGAAGTAAGGGGATGAGTGATCTCACACTTCTAGCACTAGTCTAAAATTTAGGTAACTAGACATCCTCAAATATTAAGAATGGTGCTAGACTTTTAATAGTTCCTAAGACACTTTTTAAGGAAATGGACTCAAATTTTATCACACACACACATATATATAGATTTACGATCAGTCCACTGCGAGACCACTATTGGGCTGCAATAGCGGCACAACACAAAACAAATCATGTTTTCAGATAAGTGGATTTAAGGTTTTCATTGCTAAGGAAAAAACATAAAAATTGCTTTAGTTTGCTTAAACGAAGATTGCCTTCAAGTTGAATTATGAGTTGTGCTAGTATTGCAACTGAAAGAAAGTGTATTTTCATATTTGCTACTGTTCTTAGTCCAAAACTTGTGTGATTTTAGTTGTGCTACTATAGCAGCCCTGTTCTTTCATTTCAATATTGTCCCTCAGTAGACTGATCGTTAAGACAGGGTTCCCAGCAGATCACCGAAGTCAAGCATCAGTGTGCTGGTGGGTGACCACTTTGATCAGTCAGCGTAGGGACCGAGAGTGTGCGGTATTGGTCCTCGTTAACTGTTCTACCGTAAAGTGCTCGACTTTGCTTGCAGGTCGTCGGGCTATCGAAGCGGAGGTGCCAACCTCTCTGCAGAGGAGAGAAATTGTGATGGCATGTTTTCGGATCATACTCCGGGATGTTTCCCAGACCGTCGCCAATAGTCCATTGTGCAGCACTAGTGCGACGTAAATGAACTACAACAATAACGTTTCAATATTGTTCAAATCATTTTCGTATGTCTCCTTCTTGTAAACACACCGCTTCATACTTTAATGACATCTTTGTCCTGGCTTTTTGCCTTTTATCGATCATGGATACTTCAGATAATCACAAACTACAATCCTGCAAAGAAAATCCATCTACTGATCAGAGAATCGGGCTTCGGTCCAGAAGGGTTCCTCGACTCCGCCGAAACCCACTGAGTACATGCGATATAGTTACTGGAAATATCAGTTTTATCTCAAATCCTTTGGTAGGTCACTGAGAAGTACCATGGATACAAAGATCTGGATAAAATTTCTTCTCCTTCAGATCTAAGTCTAAATTGAGGAAGTAACAGTTGGGCTGAAAAGTTTGTAGGCTAACATAGAAAAAAAATTTTTTTGGGTAAAATTCAATTTTATTATTCAATATAGTTTCTTTCAAGGGCGATACAACGATTATAGCGGTCATATAATTTTTCGATACCACTTTTATAATACGATTTGTCTTTAGCTTAAAAAAAAGGGCTTTGTTTCGGTGATTACTTCTTCATCGGCGCCAAATTTCTTTCCAGCAAGCATTCTCTGTAGGTCTGAGAGCAGGAAAAAGTTGCTGGGGACCAGATCTGGAGAGTACGGTGGATGCGGAAGCAATTCGAAGACTAATTTATATAATTTTGCCATCTTTTTCATTGACTTGTGTCACGGTGCATTGTCTTGATGAAACAAAACTTTCTTCTTCTTCAAATGGGGCCGTTTTTCTGCGATTTCGTAGCTCAAACGCTCCAATAACGCTATGTAATAGTCGCTGTTGATGGTTTTTCCCTTTTCAAGAGAGTCAATGAATATTATACCATGAGCATCCCAAAATACTGACGCCATAACTTTGCCTGCTGACTGTTGCACCTTTCCGCGGTTTGGAGTTGGTTCGTCTCGTGCAGTTCACTCGGCTGACTGTCGGTTGGACTGCGGTGTGGAATTATGGAGCCATGTTTCACCCATTGTCCCATATTGACACATAAATTCGGGTTTATTACAATTAAACAGCTTCAAACACAGTTCAGAATCATCAATTCGTTGTTGTTTTTGTCGAAATGGAGCTCGTGCGGCACCCATTTTACCTAGAGCTTTCGCATAATCAAATATTCATTCACGATATGTTCAACACGTTCTTTTGATATCTTTAGAGTCTCAGATATTTTGATCAACTTCACTTTACAGTAGTCTAAAATTATTTTGTGGACTTTTTTTATGTTTTCGTCGGTAACAGCCTCTTTGGGGCGACTACTGTGTGCATCGTCGTCGGTGCTCATTTCGTCTCGTTTGAACTTAGCAAACCACTTCTCAATGGTTGATTTCCCTGGTACAGAGTCCGAATAATGTTTCCCAAGCCAAGCCTTGGCTTCAAGAGTATTTATTTTTTTTTGCTAAAAAGCAATGCTTTAAAAACACACGAAATTCCTTTGTATCCATTGTTTCTAAACTAACAAAAGTTGCTTCACTAAAAATACTATATTTCACAAACTAATAGTCCGACAGCTGTCAAATTTATACACGTGTCTTTCAAAGGTTATAACTAACTAAAAATCGTATGTATTTAATAATAGTAGTCCCATCTATGTGTCAGCCTACGAACTTTTCAGCCCAACTGTTAGCCTTGCAAATGAGATCTCCTCCGCAAAGGATCAAAATTGTGATGGTCATGCCTTTGAATCATCCTCAAGGATGTCTCTCAGACCCGAGCCAGTAGTTTATTGTGCATCTCTAGTGCGACATAATAAGTAAAGTACTTACTATGTACCCAGGGTTCGACTTAGCCTAATTGGGGGTCGGAGCAAAAACTTCTTTGGGTGCCCCCTCTACTTTACTACTTCAGTAATGAAGAACCGAACTTTATGAGGTATTTATATTTTTCGCCTCATTATAGATATATAACGAGAAATTTGACTAGAACCTAAAATAGCTATGACCTTGCTGAATTAAGCTAAATTTTCTCAATTTCGATGGCTCAATTAAGCCAATCAGAACTCATATTTTTGTAAACATATTATTGCATTTTGAGATATGTGAAAATACAGGCTCTTCATTGGCCAAATTTGTCCATCGTTATTGCGAAAATTTAGCTGAATTCCGCTCTAGATAGCCGTGGATTTACGAAATAAAGATTTTTTGTGTTCATCTAGATCAGAGGTGTCAAACTCAATTTTGCAGAGGGCCATATATTAAATTTAGAATGTGTAGGCGGGCCAGATTCAAATAAAAAAAATGTACTGAACTATTATAACATTTTATTTATCTAATTATATGGTATATAATTAGATAAATAAGGTTAATATAAGGTTGTTAAAAATCATATCAAAGTTATGAAAGATGGTAACTATTTTGAGCTCGAGAATCCAGATACCTGACTTCTCTTGTTCTCAGAATGCGTGCTGCATGCTTTTTTAATTCCGGGTAGTTATCCAAACTCTTGAAATATTGTGCATAAAATGTAAGAGCGTTAGTTCTTTCAAAATACTGTCCGATTGAAGATTTATCAATTCCATTTGCAAATGAACTGGTGTCTGTGAAGCTTCAAAATTGAATGGATTGTTGAAAATTGAGAATTCCGTTTCATTCATTTTGTGGAAGTCTTCGAAACGATTGTTGAATTCCGTGATCAGATTTTGCAGAAGTTGAGAATACTGATCCAATTTTTTTTGGTTCACTGTGCCAAATGATTTCAAATGAGGGAAATGATCCAAAGTTTTATTGTTTACCTGATTTTCCCACAACCTCAACTTTGTTTCAAAGGCTTGAATACATTTGAGTGACAATCAGATTTTTATCCTGTAACTTTACATTCAGATCAGTCAAGTGTTAATTCATATCTACCAAAAAGACACAATCAATCCACCAGTCATTGTCATAATCAATTGGGTTGCCTTTTTCTTACATGAAGGCTTGAATAGAGTCACGTAATGCAAAAAATCCTTCTAAAACTACTCCTCGACTGAGCCAACGAACTTCAGGGAAATAAGGGACATCAAAAAAATTTTCGTCCAAATCTTGTAAAAACTGCCTGAACTGTCGGTGATTTAGTCCTCTGCTCCTTATAAAATTTACTATTTTAATTACAGGTAGCATGACATGGTTCATTTTTAAATGCTTGGATGCCAATGATTCCTGATGAATTATACAGGGAAATCCCACAAAATTCCCTGATGTTTTCTGTTTTAATTTAGTTACAATGCCCGAATGATTGCCACCCATGGCAGGAGCGCCATCCGTAGTTGTGCTGCTAAGTATATTCCAGTCGAAGATTTCGCCTGTTGCTAAGATGCGTTACTGTCTATCTCTCTCGCTTGTCTATGCCCGCGCTGCCCTTAAAATTACTTATAAATGTAGTGTGCACATTTTAAAACTTCCGTAGAGGAATAGAGTGAAATCTAAAAGCTCTAAAAAACATGATTCTTCTTTCTGTGACTTATCGCGATCGCGGGCCGTATTGATACGAACCGGGGGTCGGATGCCCGCGGGCCGTATCTTTGACATGACTGATCTAGATTAACCAAGAAGCTAACATATAACTGATGGATTTTACACTGTACTGATATTTTGTTTTAAAAAAAGTTTATTAAAGAAAGAAGCGCAAAATAAACTTTCCACTCGATTTGGGGGCCCCTCTGATGCGGGGGCCCGGGTCAGCTGCCCTGCCTTAGTCAGGCTCTGTATATACACCCTCTGTTGCAAAACCCATTCACTCATCTCAATATCCTGATGTAATTAATAAGAGTGCAGTTAAGGAAATATGACACCGAAGTCAAGCCTCACTGGCTACGATCAGTGTGCGGGTGGGTGACCACTTGGATCAGTCTGCGTAGGGACCGAGGGGGTGCGGTATTGGTCCTCGTTAAACTGTGCTACCGTAAAGTGCTCGACTTCGCGCGCAGGTCGTCGGGCTATCGAAGTGGGGGAGCCATCCCCTCCGCAAAGGATCAAATTTGTGATGGCAAGTCTTCGGATCATCCTCCGGGATGTTTCCCAGACCGTCGCCAATAGCCCACTGTGCAGCTCTAGTGCGACGTAAATTAACAACAACAGCAACAAGGAAATATGAAGCTATAAGTTAACGTACAGACCTCGTCGCACTTTTCTACAATCAAATGTAATTGATATGCGAGCTATAAGCGCGAAGCAGAAAAGGCCATCAAAAGTGCGCGTCTTCAACTAATAGTTCACTTCAATTTAATGAATAATGCTTAAAAAATATTATTCTTCGACTTTCAAGGCTGAAAGAAACATAGTCTATTTATGTTGAGCTCTGAAATTTTTTTAATGAATATGCTAAAAAATATCATTTTATGGTTTACACTGGAAATAAGTGTTATTGTTATTTTAAATGGAAAACGTGATCATACTGCAGAAAACAATAGAAGGAGAGGCTGAGTATATGATGCAGTAAAACTTTCGCTAAATGAGATAATAAAATGACTTTTTTATACAACAGAAAATATGTGAAGTATAGATACTTCTTAGAGATGTAATTTAAATAAACAAGTATATTCCTGTTGTAGGCAGAAAAGCTGTTTATAAAATCGGCTTCAGACGGAGCAGGACCATGCATGTAAATAATTCTGTAGCGGAAGGTGACTTATCATTAACACTCTAGTTCGTATTGAAAGAAGTCTTATTAATGCAATTGTAAAACATTCACATAACTTACTCATCCAATTCCTCTTGTTCACAAAAATAAAGAACTTATTCCTGCAGTATGAGTGAAAACTCTAATACAACTCAGAGCAAATTAAATAAAAACTATTTTGCTCATAATGGAGAGAAACCTTATTCATGCAATGTGTGTGATAAAAGTTTCACACATAAAAGATATTTAAATTATCATTTTGTTGTTCATACTGGAGCAAAACCATATTCATGCAGTGTATGTGATAAATCTTTCACACAGAAGTCTGGTTTAAATAAACACAATATTCTTCATACTGGAGCGAAGCCTTATTCATGCAATGTGTGTGATAAATCTTTCACTTATAAATCTAATTTACATCAACACTATCTTGTTCATAGTGGCGAAAAACCGTATTCATGCAGTGTGTGTGATAAATGTTTCACACAGAAGTCTGGTTTAAATAAACACAATATTCTTCATTCTGGAAAGAAGCCTTTTTCATGCAATGTGTGTGATAAATCTTTCACATATAAATGTAATTTACATCAACACTATCTTGTTCATAGTGGAGAAAAACCGTATTCGTGCAGCGTGTGTGATAAATGTTTCACACATAAAAGAAGTTTAAATGATCATTCTGTTATTCATACTGGAGAGAAACCTTATTCATGCAATGTGTGTAACAAATGTTTCACACATAAAAAAAACTTAAAAGAACATTTTGTTGTTCACAGTGGAGAGAAGCCATATTCCTGTAGTGTGTGTGATAAATCCTTTACATTGAAATCTAGTTTAAATAAACACATTCTTCTTCATTCTGGAGAGAAATATTCATGCTGTGTGTGTGATAAATCTTTCGCAAATAAAAGGTGTTTAAAAGGACATTACATTCTTCATACTGGAGAAAAGCCTTATTCATGTAGTGTGTGTAATAAATGTTTCACACATAAAAAAGGGTTAAAAGAACATTCTGTTGTTCACACTGGAGAGAAACCATATTCCTGTAGTGTGTGTGATAAATCCTTCTCAATGAAATCTAGTTTAAATAAACACATTCTTCTTCATTCCGGAGTGAAGCCATATTCATGTAGTGTGTGTAATAAATCTTTCGCACAAAAAAAGAATTTAAATGAACATTATGATATTCATAATGGAAAAAAGCCTTACTCTTGTAGTGTTTGTGATAAATCTTTCACCTCAAAACCTAATTTAACTAGACACCTTCTTATTCATCAAGGAATTCATGCAGTGTGTGTGACAAAATATTCTCTAGATTAATAAAATTTAATTAATCATTTTTTTATTTCTACTTAAGAGAAACTTTTTTTATTCATGCATTGTATGTGAGCTATCTTTCTCACCTGGACATGCATAGTACCCCATGTTTCTGACATTTGAGTTAAACCCTATTCTTCAGGGATGAGATTTTTCCGCTTTTTTTCACTTTTGTCTCTCGAATTTCTGCCTTTCTTATCAAAAACTCCGATTCTCTTAAAATTTCGCTTTTTTTTAAAATAAATATTCCGCTTTTTCTGAAAATTCAGCCACTGAAATATAATAATTATTTTTATTTCCGATTTTCAAAGGTAAACAGAAAATTCAAACTACAAAGCTACCAACCCTTTCCGCATTTTTACTTACTTTAGCTATTTTCTCCGCTTTTACGCACAGATGATAAGATTTTCCGCATTTTTACCCGGCAGCCAGACAGCTCGTATTTTCGTAATTCAAACGACGCTGCTTCAGACAAGTCTTTTAGAAGTCGCAAGCCTGGAATCTGCTAATATCTCGATTCTTATTCACGCGATTTTAATATCAAGCATAGCTTTTCGTATTTACGTGATTTAAAAGTTGCATGTTGCGATTCTTATTTACGAGATTTAAAATCCGATATCGTGATTTGTATTTACGCCTTTTTAAAAACCTATGTAGCGATTCGTATTCACAAGAGTTTAAAATCCAATGTCGTGATTCGCTCATGCGGTTATAATATCAAACATCGATTTTCGTCTTATACGTGCTTTAAAAATAAGGCATTGGGATTTGCATTCAAAATTATGCCTCATAATTCTTATTTATGCAATTTAAAATTTACGCATCATGATTCGTATTTACGCGATCTAAAAATTATGAATCGTGATTTGTATTTACGCGATTTAAAAATTTTATATCGCAGTTTGTATTTTGTCATTTTCAAAATCGTATATCTAGTTTCATACTCACGTGATTTCAAAATCCATAATCGTGATTCATATTCACGCTATTTTAAAATCCAGGATTGCAATTTGCATTCGCGCAATTTTAAGCTCAACTATTGCGATTCTTGTAAGAAGTAAATTTTTTCTTGATTTAGTTACTCTAAAGGTGACTGTTTTTCTATCGACGATTATTAGTATATGTAGGTGTTACAACATCAGCGAAACTGGAGTAGAATATATTTAAAACTTTTACTCTGGGCTTGCAAAGAAGAAAAAGTAGGATTTGTCACAAGATGTTTGAAGATGGGCTAACGACTAAATATAGCAAACATAAAAGATATAGCACTTAAAAAAAGATAATATTTTTTTTTTGGAAAAAGAGTTAATTAACTCAGCATCAAAATGCAAAATTTAAAAAATAATGTTGCTGTTATTTATGCTATAAAATGCAAAGTTCTTATCAAATGAAAAATAATTATCTAAACAGTTGCTGATTATCATGTAATTTTTCGAACTAAAATAGCAATTTTTGTATGTTAAGGAGTTACTATATATTTTTACTTCACAGTTATTGATATGTTTCACAGGGCTCTAGTTAGATCAGATTATAATATAAACATAGTGATTTTCCAATTGTAAAAGTTGATTTTCTTTTCAAAATAATTTAAAAAGTCATGTTACTGATATATTTGCCTTAAATCATGTAACAGTATTTATTAACAGAAATGGAATGTTAATGTATGTTCTCAGTAGTTTTAATTTGCTAAACCAGACAGTTTCTCAAGTAATAATTGTCTCTTATGTGAACTGAAGAAAAATATAATTTCTAGCTTTATTTTTTCAATTGGTAATTTTTCTTTTTACTAAATGTTAAGTATCGATGTAATCATTTATATAATAATAAATTAGTACACAATTTTATGTCAACACATTGTTATTTATTATCTTAAACTGTCTGGAATTTATGGTTGACCGATTGCGCGTACGTAAAATTTACTTGCTTGGAAATTCAGCTTTTTTGCCTTTTGGCCAATCTCATCCCTGTATTCTTACAATCTGCAGTAAATATTGAACATGTTCTATAATGTTAGTTTATGTAAAAGAAATTTAAATATTCAATGTTATTCATACAAGATCTGAACCTTATTCAAGCAGTGTGTGTGATAAAACTTTCTCACAGAAAATTCTTTTAAATTTACTTTTTGTCTTCATACTGGATATAAATTTTACGTATGTGATAAATAATTTTTACAGAAAATAGATTTAAGAGATTAGTTCATAGTGTAAGTAGTACCTTACTCATAAAATGTGTGTGATAAAATGTGGAAATCTTATTTAAATAAAAACTCTGTATGATAATGCATTTTCTTATTAATCAACACTATTTTCACCCTTCTAGCATGAAGCCTCATGTGTGAGATCTTTCGTTGAGTGGTGTGTGAGAAATATTTTGTTGATTAACACTTGAAAGATTCAAAATTGCTGTGACAGAGAAATACTGAAGGGGCCAGTATGGCCCTTTTTAGATTATTTAAATGTAGAACTAAAATATGTGAAAAAATATAGTAAAAAATATTTTTTTTAAATTTATAGTTAGAGGTTGATCATAAGAAATGTGTGGGATATTTTTTTTTCTATTTCAATGAGAAAAATTTCTCAAAATGGGCGTAATAATTTTTGCAATTGTGTTGTGCTCAATTGTTCAAAATAATTACTGATTAAGAAAATTTAACTGAATTGCTACTTTTTAATAGATAAAACAGAAAATGTGACGCAAAATTATTTTAGTTTTTTCCCTCTAGTTTTCGTAACAATCAATACACAACGCATTTTTCAAATCACATTTGCCGTAATACTGGCGAATATACCAATTAAGATTTCTCTTGATTTCACACTACTTTGCATGTAATTCTCTCTCTCTCTCTTTTTTTTTTTACAGTGTCATATTTTTTACACATTACTCTTTTAGTTTTATTGCTTCTGCTCCTTTTTTTCATTAACACAACAGCCTTTATACCATTCGCTTGTTTGAGTTAAGATGCTAACCAGGGAGCGAACCTTCAAGCGTCTCTGTTGTATTTCTAAATCTAAATTGCATTGACTCTTCCAATAGAGTATGTAACTACCCTTAATTAATATTTTTTAGAATGCTTCGCAAAAATGAAATTGGAAAATACACAGATGGTAGATCTGGTATGCAGACACACTCACAAAATCTTTATTTTATTATGTACACAGATAAACATATGGCACAGTTGCTTGTAAATTTTGTGCTATTTAAGCTCTACAGTTAATCAGCTATAATTATCTTGGTTAGCTAAATACAGGTTTTTTGAATGTGAGGTCCCTCATTGACTTTCTGCGTTTTTCTTTTTTTACATAATCGCTTTTTCTTTAATGCTACAGACATTTTCTAGCACTGCTGTTTTTCTCTTGTATCTTCAGTGTTATTATTATTATTTTCATTTAGGAGAAATTTGGCATTAAAATTTACCTCCAATCAATGAATCTATTTGAAAATTATTTAATTTCATTATTTGAATCAAATTTTTATCACAAGAAAATTTAAAAGTTCGTGTAAGTGTGTGAATAATTTAAGAAATTTCTGGAAGTATTTAATTTATTCATAGAAATGAATCAGCCAAAAATGTTGTAAAAAACTGATAATTTTAAAATATATACATTTAGCTTGATTGACTCGAGTTCTAATGACAAATTTCATGACTTTAATAACTTGAAATAATTATTCATATTGAAACTCTTCCGCTTTATTTTAAAGTATGAAGATTATGTTAAAACTATTCAAATGTTCCAATGCTTAGTTTGCACAGAAAATGTATACTCAGCTCATATATTACGAAACTGAAAAATATTTCTACGTTAACAATTATAATATAATATATTAATTATTCGTGTAAAAACATAACATACATTTTAAAAATAAGTCATTATTAGAAACTAATTTGCATAAATCTGTTTTCCGATACTAGTCATATTTAATTATCAGCAAATGTCAAATTTAATTTTCTAGCATTAATTAAGATTTAAAAACATACCATTTTAATTATGAAACAAGACCAGAAAGGTCAAAAAATCTTATAATCTGAAAATTTATGATCATTGTAATTTACTTTTGTGCTATTAAATGTTTCTATTAATTGTGCTATAAAAGGATTTTTAATAATTTTTTGAAAGAATTTAATGCAAAATAAAAGAAGTAGCTATTTATTTTTTTCTATTTATTTATTTAAGTTTAAAACTAAATACAATTTATGCAACAAAATTATTTCTTAGCCGTTAGACCCATATTTATAATGTATTTCTGTGCATAATTTTAAATAAAGTATATAATTGAAAAAAAAAATTTCTGCTTATTCAATAGAATCTTTTTACTTATATTAGTAAAGTATTCTAAAAAATGGGGCATGCTAAGCTATTCAAATTTATAAAAAAAATTTAAATTCTTATACAATGTTTAAAAATGGTTGCTGATTACAAAGGCTGATATTAGTGTAGTACACGTTTAATATTTCTTTAAATTGCAACGAAAAGTAATTTGCGAATTCTCGAAGCAAGAATCTTAGTAAATCAGTATAATTTTAAAAGTAATAAATTAAATATTTTTTTCCCCCTCCAAATAAAAACTAAAAATTATAACTATCGTTTTAGAGAATCGAAAATACAAGTAAAGGTTGAAACATTTAACTGAACTACAGTTAATTAAAACAAATTTTTTTCAAGGTTGACTAAAAATGAAAAGAGAAAGCCCTGATGTATTTTTCTTTAAACTTTCTCTTTAAAATTTTATGCCAGCTAGAATATGCATGAGGCCTGAATACCGCAGATATAGCCTTATAGTTGATTTCCTGGGAGAAATTAATGTGAATTCACAAGTTATAAAACATAGTGCCCTTGTAGGAATTTAATTTTTGACTATGTCAACCTACATCTATCAAAAGGTGCCTCAAGATAGAATCGAACTAATATGTTTTATATACTAGTGATTTGGTATTTAATATTTATAGTGGTAGTTACTCCACAATACTCCCCTTCTAGATTTTTATCTGGGATAGAATTCAATGAACGGATACCACTAGTTGATTCATGCTGTTTATTTTCTTCTTTTTTTAATTTCATTTTGCTCATTATATTTTTTCTTTATAGCATTTCGCTCATTATTTTTTTTAATATCATTTCGCCAATTTATAAATTTTTTTATAGCACATTTCGCTCATTTTTCTTTCTTTTTTTCATATTTGTTTATTAACCGGGAGACTTTATTTACTTCAACGGATTTTTTTTTTCTTTAAGCAGTATATGTTTTTAAGCAAATCAACTGTTTTAATGTGGATCATCCATCAATGACAAGTTCATATCACGTCCGCAGGTCACCAGTTGTACGCGACAGCTTTCTATTAAAAAAAATTAAATGATGCACAGAAAGGATATAGTACTGAAGTAAGCGAAGATAGCTCCTTTGTAATACTAATATTTTATTGAACATATTTACGTTATATACAAGTTGGTTTGAATTACAAGTGGTGATGGGAGAAATACTGGTAGACTGCTGCAATGCTGGAAATGTTCTGTATATCAGTATTCGGCGCGAAGCGCCGCTTGCTGATTCATCTAAATTAAAAAGTCCTAAGTTGAATAGGCATAAATTTCATAAAGAAATATATGTAAAAGTTCACCACAGCCTAAAGCTGTGGAAGTCATATGAGAGGATGACTTGTAGGCAGTGGAACACTAGTTTTGTGGCTCAAGGAGGAGGGAGCGAAGCAGCTTCACAAGCTCTTCATCTTTTAGCAGTTCTTTCATTTCTTGGAAGAGTCTTAGAAATCTGGAAGCAGGGTTTGTGGCATTCTTGGGTTTCCTTTCTTTAGGGAGCTTCCTGGGTCTTACACCGCAGCCCGAAAAACCGGCTGGGTGCTCACCATTACAGTTAACGCAGGTCGCTGGCTCTGTGTGTGGTTTTGTACATTCGTACGAGGAGTGGTCTTTGGCACATTTTATGCAGGCGGGAACTGTGGCTGTACAACTGCGCTGAGTGTGTCCAAATTTCAGGCATTTGTATCATTGGACTTGAAACTGCTCTAGGATAGATCTAATGTTGTAGATATTTCGGCTATTGCTTGAATCACATTGGATGATGAGGAAAAGTGGGAGGGGCCTAAGCTCCTCCCCTCTTCTTCGCTTGAGCTGCACTATCTTTTCCGGGAGAAGTCCGAATTCTTTGAGATATTTCTCCAGTTCGAGAATATCTGTATCAATTTTTAGGCCTCGGATGAGGGTTTTCAGTTTTTTGTTTGGAGAAGTGTCCATAGTTGAATTTGTAGTAGAGATGGGGTCTACCGTAACGGCAATCTCCTCACACTCTGTCAATACTGGGTCCGCTGGGATGGCGGGACTATGGAGGGCTCGCCTTCTGTTTCTATAACGGGAAGTGTCGCCTGGTTGACACTCGTTTTCATCTTTTTCTTATTCCTTTTCTCAGGGAGAGCAGGAATTTCTGGAGTATCCATTTCAATCGGTAGATTGGTTGGAACAGGCACTGTGACTTTGGTTGTGTCCTCTTCCTCAGTCGTTTGAGCTTTGGATTCTGGGATGGTACCTGGAACTTCGTTCATAAGATCTTTCTCCTTCTTCATCTTTTGTTGTATAGCATCAATGATGCAGTTTACACCAACAGATCCTTTTAGGATGTAATCATACAAGGGACATGTACGCCAGTCTAGTCTCCTTAGGAGGCTAAAGTAAAGTCTTCTCACTTATATCAGTTCTTCCAATGGAAAATGAGAGAAGAAATCTCTCGCTTCATATTTGTCCATGTTCTTACTCGGAAGAAGAAATTGCGGGGGAATCCCACAATTCTCAAATAAGTCATCTGACGAAGCTTGGTTTACGCTAATCGAAAGTTGAGAGCGGCCGGAAGGGAGCACCTTTCCGCCGCGGGCTGTACTATGGTACGGCATAACTGAGCAGAGATAACACGTCTTGACTCGAGCAAGGCTTGAGCGAATCTCTCTTGGTAGGCTGCTGACTGAACTGAACTGAGTATAGTTTCGGTGTACCTGTCCGCAAAGCGGACATTTCACACCTTCATCTGAAGTTGTGCCCGTGGGCACCTGTAATAATGGCATTGCAAGTGGATTATGGCGGTGAATTTCGGTGGCGGTGGTCAGATAAAATCTACATTCTATCTATCCGCATAAAATAATAACATGATTGAATAATATGATTAAATAATACAAGCTGATGGTTAAAATTGATATAAGTTTCTGCTATAACTGTGACCCGGCCGTCCTGGTATTCAACCACTCGTACCGGGTTGCTCTCTGTACTGATATTAGTGGAAC